AGGTTCGTTCTACTTAAGTTCACCGATAAGGTCTACGCATCATGCGCGGGGTCGCTATTCAGAAAAAAATTAACGCCTCGCTTGAACATGGACTTTAAAATTAAAAGAATTCAACTAATCTAAACACTCCAGGAAAAGAAAACTAGTCGCGTGCCCTTTCGCGAATAAAATTTGATGAGAGGAAACCAATCAGTGTGCGATCTCACTCAAGAGTTTGAGGTCCGTGAAACAAAGCGAAGATTGAAAACGACCCGGAATTTAAAGATATTTACGATACCTGAAGACCTGAAACTTTAAAACTATAAGAACGGCTATTCCAATAGGGAACAGCATTACGAAATAATCGACAATTGTTATATACAAGGTAATGAAGAAATCAGAATACCGACCAGTAATCCAGCGAGTTTACGTTTAAATATCTTAGAGGAGCTGCACGATCTACCATCTGCCGGACATTTCGAATACAAAAACACTAAAGAGGGAACGCAAGCGGTTATTTTCTGCGTTACAGAAAGTTGTTACGGCGTATTTAAGTCGGATCAATGTGCCCAATTAATAAACGATGTTAATTACGCTCGGCGGGTATTTAATAACATAAAGACCACTTTCCAAATGAAATAGTTGGCTAGATTGCTCGGACCCTACCCTAGGACAAAAAATAAATAAAAACATATACTTTTAACAATCGTTTGACCATTTTTCAAAAGGGGTAGAAATAGTCCCTCTTAAACGAGCTTCAGCTAAAATAGTCGCAGATTCTTTCTTAAGTAATATTTTAAATACGGGGCCCACTAAAAGTAATATCAGATAACGGAAAACAGTTTGTTAGTAGTATATTTAAAAATGTGTGCACAGGACTTGGCATACGCCATCAAAAATGGTACATATAGACCGCAGTCGAAATATCGGAACGCGTAAATAAGAATACTGTAAAAATATCAGGGGATATGGAAAATTTTCATGACCGCTGGGACAGCGTGTCAATAGGAGTTAGGTTTGCTTTGAAACGCAAAGCACGATATACCAGAAGACTCCCGCGGAGTATTTTAGAAGAAAATAATAACGTCTTTGATAAGCTTTCTTTGTACAACAGAGACAAAAGAATTCAAGTTAAAAGACTCAAAATTATCGACGAAGCCATTCAAAGCTTGATATAGCAAAAAAAAAAGTTTAGTACGATAAATAGAAGGGAATTTGAATAAAGTGGACAGAAGTCTTAAGTTAAATATTCGGTAACGGCAGAAAACAGGAGTTGCGAAGTTGAGCCCAGTTGAAGGCCGTACGGGAAAGAATAAAGAAGCCACGGTTTATTTAGCCGAAAATGGCCAACACTGGCAAATATCGATCAGTAAAACCTTATTACAGCCGCACTGACTTAAAATATTGCAGGTATTACAGGATCCTGGAAGTAGGAGAGAAGCTCGCCAGCTCAAAAGCACAGCTGGAGTCCCCCAACGCAAAAGAAAGCAGAGCCAAGCAAACTTCGACCAGGGAATCTATTCCAGTAATGCTACAAAGCGCGCATTAAAAGGAGGATTAGCACGACAGATCACGAGTCAGAACCGAGGATTCTGCAAAAACTCAAGACCATCGACTAGAAGAGGGAGGCCTGCTGACAAGGTTCCAGGAAAGGAGAAAATTCAACGACGAATGGAAACTAGACGTAAAGCACAGTTTCCAGCATTAACAACTACAAGGGAGGCCCAGCATGGAGACCGAAAAGCCAGAAAAGACCTTAGACACAACCGTGCTGGATCAACAAGTTAGAATGGCCAAGAGAAGACCCTGAAGGACGGATATTCCCACCGGAGCAAAAAGGAAATTGGCATTCCAGAATCTCCAACCCGCCCGCAAAAGTCCAGATTCCTAGACAAGGGGAAAAAAGGAAAAGATCGGAATTAACGGAGCGGAACATCAAGCTCGAGAGAAGATTGAGGTCATCAGGTTTCCTACTTTGAACAACTCTGTAACGTCAGAATGCAGGAATACAAAAAGATAAGTGAAATTTCTTTGCTTATTTTTCTTTGAGTTCAAATTATATCATCTTGTTCTAAGTTGCTAAAGATGTTGAAAAGTTAAATCGCAGATGCGAAAGATTGGTTGTAAATGTTCGTAATCAGAGATTTTATGTTAGCAATTTGGCGAAAGTTCTAGCGTTAAATACTTTTTGTTAAACTCGCAAGTTGCGAGAGATGGTTGTAAATGTTCGTAATCATAGATTTTTATGTTAGCAATTGGCGAAAGTAACTACTTTAAATACTTTTTGTAGAACTCGCAAGTTGCGAGAATAATTGTGAATAAGTTTAGTCGGAAGACTAAAATAAAATCTGTTAACGTAAAGTAAGATTTCGTTGTAAATATTGGTAATTGTAATTACGCAACTAGACTGTTGATGTAAAGTGAATTTAAAAGTGATGTGTAAATATTTAATGTTTTGTTCATGTAGAATGTTTAATCTTTGTTGAAATCGTAAGTAATTAAAATGACACAGAAAATAAATTTTGATCTCTGTGTATTGGAATTGTGGAAGAATTGAGTGTTAATATATATTGTGTGTTTAATGTTAGGCTCTCCAGTTTAACACGTTTTAAAAGTAAAATATAAGCTCTCGCTTACTACATTAGGAAAGAGTTTTCGGTAGGGAGTTTTTGTAAGGTCTGGTGTGTCAATTTAACAAATTAGGTGTTGTGTAGCGGTAGTTTTGTTCACGGTAACACAACATAGAATACCCTAAGTACATTTCAGTACATTTGCTGGAGACCATGGGTGAAATAAAACTGTAGTATGAATGAAAGTGCATGAGGGCCAAATGATGAAATAAAAGCGTAAAGTTAGGATTTAAAGAAAAGCTTTGTAAAATGCCTTACTAATGACATTTCCTTCCAGATATGGAAGGATTAAGACCTGACATAATTATAGCAGAATAAAGAGTCCATTCATGAAGATGCATGTCAAGGAAGGATCAAGACCTCACATAATTAAAGCAGAATAAAGAGTCCATTCATGAAGATGCATGTCAAGATATAATGTCCAGAAAGGATGAATTGTAAATTTTTTTTCCTAGCTTTAGTCTAGCTTTTAGATTGTTGTAAAGTTGGCCCTAAAAACGAAACTTTAAAGTCATTTAGTTAATTTAAAAGTTTGAAGAGTGTAGTTAACTTAAGTTTTTCAGACTTTAATGTCTTAAACAAGGTCGTTTCGAGTATTTAAAGTCTGGTCGGAAGCTATGTAAGAATTATGTTAATTTTATTAACAGTTAAATTTTAAGTTCCTTTCCTGTCAAATTCTTAACTTCAACTTACTACTTCCGGCCAGAACGTAGTTTTGGAATCTTATTGAATATTTAATGAGGAGGAGCGGTATTTAAACCACGAAGTTACTTACGGAGGCAGAGAGAATTAGTTTCTGATTTACGCGCGTCTGCCTTTTTGGCCACTCTCTCTCTCAAAGCTGTTATTACGGCCCGGCCGTATTCAGGCCCTTGCTAAGCTTCGTAGTCCAAATAAGGTAAGGGACCAGCTCATTTGAACCTTGATAGCTTCGGCTATACTTCTTTAGTTAATCTTAGTTTAGTTTAATTCGTAGTCTTTTAAGTAAGTCCAGTGCGGGCGTTTCTTGTACACTTCCAGGCGGAGTTTGTTAAATCTTATTGGAATAATAAAGGGTTAGTTACCCTTCTATCTTGTTGATTCTTGTCACCGAACGCAAGCGATTATTCGCTTATCAGTTCTTAAGGGCCGTTCCCACTGGGGTTTATCTGAGCTAAAGGGAGCAACTGACGTAGCCGTCCCATTTCCAAAGCCGGTTATTCCCATAGGGCAGCAAATTGAAAAATCTGAGCTGTAGGCATAGCCAAGCTAGTCGACACATGGAACTGACTCCGTTAGCTCAGATAAACCCCAGTGGGAACGGCCCTTTAGATTCTTCACTTCCAACATTCCAGAATTCCAAAGTGAGGAACTCTACGCAACCAATAAACTATCGGCGACAAACAGACATTTAAGCCGCATATACGTAGGATGAGGTTAGGATTAAAATAGAGGAAGGCAGTAGCATTTTAAGGGTATTTAATGATGAAAGAATAAACATGATTATGGTATTTACAGTGTGAAAGGAAGTAAGATAAAAAGTTCTTCATCATTAAACAGAATCACATCGTCAATCAATGTTCTCGAGCGGCATGGTTCAGCTCCATCCAACGCCACGTTCTCATATCATCGGAATGCAAGTCTGTCCATTTCCTCACACAGCTTGAAGAAGTATCTCGCTGCTGTCGCTGTTGCCAGATTTAGGAAAAGGCGGACGAGTTATAGGAGCGAATTACCACACGGCCATTCTGCCTTGCCGGGCGTCCTCGCCTGGGGGTTGATCTGAAAAGAAAGAAAAAAAAAACGAAAAGCAGAGAAAGTGAAAAAAAATCAATGTCCAGGTGGCGAATGTTAGCTTTGTGCACCACCAGTTCATCTTATCAGCACAGGTTGACATCATAATGGTGTCTTCATGGCGTATCTTTCGTACTTCGTAACAATCAGAGGGATGAACTGTCTCATAAGGACCGAATAATTTGGGACGAAGTTTAAGTCCAAGTTTCAGTTCAAGTCGAAGATTCAGTCCAAGTGGAAGTTTCAGTTCAGGCTGGATTGGTATTTGGTGTCCAAGTTTGTATTTGCAGGGAGGTTTGCGACGTTTCTTATACTGTCGTATATGTGCTTGCTGTAAACGGAGGAGGTTCCGTTGAGCTTCAATGCATAATGCAGCTTTTTCATCATCATGCTGTGTCAGCAATTTCATTGTCTTTGAAGTTCGTTTAAATTTTCTTCGTTTATACTTCCAGGCTCTCTTCTTGCGTTTCTTTGGGTGTGAAGCGGATAAAGTGTATGAAACAGTAATTTTGATTCCAAGTATTTCAGCATTCTGTTTTGCCTCAAAAGCTTCAACTGCATCATTTTCCTGTATATAACTTACGGTAACATTTGGATGTACAGGTAATAAATTCAGAGTTATGAATGCTTTTGGAAAAGTTCGGCAATTTTAGAAATTGTACTATCCGCTGGAATGTCAGAGACAAGTAGTTTCCTTAGATTATTTTTCTGTTCTTTGGGAATTTCTGCACTTTTAGCAGGTGTTTTAGGTGTTTTCTCGTTTGCTTGATCAGCACATGCTTGTTCAAATTGATTCAGTTTATTTTTCACAGTTTCTTCAGTATTCTGCACGTTTGGATCATTATCGACATCATCATCATCATTAGCTTCATGACTGTCATCATCATCTTCGTTGTCATCAACATCATCTTCATCAACAACAGCAACGTCATCTTGATCAACATGATTAACATCATTTTCATGAGTGCCATCATCATCATCAGCACCATTAGCGTTATGATTGTCGTCATCATCAATATGATGATCTTGATCCATGTCGTCGTCTGCGTCATCACCATCTTCATCAACATCATCGTCATGAGCTCCATCATTGGTATCAGCATCATCTTTGTCATGGTAATCATCCAAATCCAATTCTAAATCGTCATGTGCAGCATCATCATCATTTTCCTTAACTGTGTTCTTCAACTGAATTTCATTTTCTGTTATTTTCTGAAAATCTTCCATAGCAGTGTTAACTTCGTGTGGTTTGTGAGGAGTAATGATATGTTGAACTTCTTCGAGAATTTCCGATTTTGAGATGTGTGAAAGATCAGGTGGAAATGTGTGATCATGAGTAACATTAGCAACATTAACAAAAATTTGATCATTATTATTGTTGCATAAATGAATACCATCTTTATCAAATGTAAATCGAGTTTGTTGCAAAAAGTCTATTCCAATAATGGCATCAAGAGGAATCATATAGTCTTTTTACTACATGGACTTTAGCAGGTAAAATAGTGTTTTCAATTTGAATGTAGTCCTGAAAGAATCCAATACTTTGAACTGTGTCTCGGCCAAGTCCTGAGAATGTAATTCTGGAAGGATGTAATGGTGGAGAACCAATTTTGCGGTGTTTTCTCCGTAATAAGTGTTGCTTGTGATCCAGTGTCATAGAGAGCAGTTAACTGCTCTCTATGACAGTACAGTGCTCTCTATGTAACAGTGATGAAAAAGCTGCATTATGCATTGAAGCTCAACGGAACCTCCTCCATTTACAGCAAGCACATATACGACAGTACAAGAAACGTCGCAAACCTCCCTGCAAATACAAACTTGGACACCAAATACCAATCCAGCCTGAACTGAAACTTCCACTTGGACTGAATCTTTGACTTGAACTTCGACTTGAAGTTGAATATCAACGTGCATCGGATGTTTAGAAAAATTTTGAGCATAAAGTGCATTTACAGTACTATCAGATGTAGAACAATTAGGAGCAGATTCTGTGGTAGAACTACTAGAACGTTTGGGACAATTGGAATGAACGTGACCATAATTTTGGCAGCCGTAACAGAATTTGCCATTAGATTTATTAGGACAAGTATTGCTTTTGTGACATTTTAAACCACAAGAATAACAAACTGGTTGAGTGTCTGATGTACGTTTAGCATCAATTTTAACATTGGGAAAGGAATTTGGAAATTTCTTTGGAGTATTTTGCTTCAAATTTTTTGAATTGTTAAAGAGTTTTTCATAAATTTTCAGTTTTTCTTTAAATTCAGGAATGGATTTACAACCGTATAAAATTATTTTGTTGTTTGATGAATCAGGAATACCATTGATAATATAATCAATCAAAGAAGAATCATCCATAGAACCTTTGTGTGCGAGGTCTCTCATAGCTAAAAAATATTCTTGTAAGGTTTCAGATGTTTTCATGTGACGAGATTCCATTATTTTATGTAATTGAAGGCTATTAATTTTTCCGAAAATTCATCTAATAAATGGTGTTTTAATTGTTCCCAATTAGTAATTCCACGAATTGATCTTATTAATGTTAAAGCTGGACCTGTAAGACATTTTTTAACAAAAATTACTTGGTGTACAGGATTCGTGATTTCATAGAGATTAAAAATATCTTCTATGTCAGAAATAAAAGTTTCGACGCTGTAATTATCCCGAGAGGAAAAGGGTTTGATCAAATCAACAATGTCCTTTAAGCCAAAACATTGAAACGGAACAGTCTGTGTTTGTGAAAGCAATAAATTTCCAGGCGCGCTTTCAAGAGAGATTTTTGCCTGCATTTGTTTACATAAACGATTCATCGGGAGTGTGATTAATGGCTGTTTGGGCGACGCTATGCGTCGAGGGTGAACTTTGCACCAAAGCGTCTTCTTCAAGGTCGCTGTAGTCAGCGGAATCTGATTTTAATAACGATACATCAGCTAGATTCGTAAGAATATTGTTAGCACAGTTTTCAATATCGGTGGAAAATTCTAAATATAGTAAGTTACATATGGCAATTAATTCCGCAAGAGAAAATTCTTTGAGAATTTTTTGTTTCGTATATTCAACAGTTAAATGGTTTGGGAAAACCAGAAAAATTGCGTAACCCAGCACGATTCTGCCGATCACCATCTGAGCCAAAACGTAAACGATGTAAAAGCTTGATATGCTTGGTACTGGCGGTTTTTAATGATATGTTGGGATAATCGTTAAAGTGTAGCCATTATTTATCAGTTTCGTTTTTACCAAATATGAAATTCACAAAATATGTATGTTTCGAGTTCATCAAATATGTATCTGGTATTAAATATTTATCAGAAATTAGCATACCAAAATATACTCTTAATTTTTCATATTCTTCAAAATAATATTAATTCTTCTTAGTATATTACACAATAACTATGATGTTAAAACACTCAAAAAATCATAAATGAAATTGTGAACATATGATTCAAACAAATGGTAAAATATATCGTCAAACAAATCTTCATATAAGACTATGTTAAGAATGAAAAATAGAATTTCACGTTAAGATATGATATCAAGTATTATTAACTTCAAATAATATTGTACAGTCCTTGGAAAATATAGGCATCACAAGAAATAAGAAATTATGCACCAAATTCGAAAACGAAAGTAATTCTTCAAAGTAACTTTTTTTTTTTTAATATATCACAATTCTGTAAATAGTCAGTAATGTATTTCCATCAAAATCAAATACCTTTAGTTTATTCAATTAAACTTCATCAAAACTGTTTAATTAATTATCATCAACATCAAATTCGAAAACGGAAGTGTTAATTCTTCAAAGTAATAATCATTCAAAAATAAAATGGATTTTTATCAAAATCAAATGACTTTCGCTTCATCAAATAAACTTCATAAAAAGGCGTTATCAAATATTCATAATAACTTGAAAGAATATTTCTTCCTCATTATCATTACTTCATCAAATAAAATTAGCTCTACTTACGTGCTGACGAATCACAACAACTGGAATCTTGCGATATTATTCCACAGTAGTACATCATTTATACGTGTATTGGATATGTAATATGGTAGTCTAGGGGATTTAAAAAGCTGAAGAGAAGAACAGATTTTAGTTCAAGGAGTCGAAAGAGTTCGCGGGGTCGAGCCCCACATGGGATGAGGTTAGAATTAAAATAGAGGAAGGCAGTAGCATTTTAAGGGTATTTAATGATGAAAGAATAAACATGATTATGGTATTTACAGTGTGAAAGGAAGTAATATAAAAAGTTCTTCATCATGAAACAGAATCACATCGTCAATCAATGTTCTTGAGCGGCATGGTTCAGCTCCATCCAACGCCACGTTCTCACATCCTCGGAATGCAAGTCTGTCCATTTCCTCACACAGCTTGAAGAAGTATCTCCTGCTGTCGCTGTTGCCAGATTTAGGAAAAGGAGGATGAGTTATAGGAGCGAATTACCACATATATATATATATCTGCTTCGAAACGGCTGGCTCCCAGGCTTAGCGAAGCACATCGTTGGATTCCGCAGGTCCGTGGTACGCCATTTTGACCATTCGCGTCTTCTTGGGACTTTAATTAGCCTATATATTAATTAAAAACTAATTTTCCCCTACGTTTTCCACTTTCTTTCTTGGGTTTTCCCTATTACAGGGATTTGGCTACGTGCCAAATTCTTGTTTTTGGAATATCTACGGAACTGCGCCGAGTTGAAATTCGAGACACGTATCCTCGGATTTCAAAAAATTCTCCGAATCCATCGAAACCGTTCTCATCTTCGTACGACTTTAATCGGCCGAGATATTAATTAAAAACTGCGGAAACGTTAATTTCCGCGCTCATTTTTCCGAGTGGCAACAATAAACTATCGGCGACACACACTTTAGCCGCTTATATATACAAAGATGATTCAAAGTCAGTATCAGTCCGTGTTTTATTTTGGAGAAAGAGAAATTAGAAATGTGACAGGAATATCTTTTAAAAGCAGGGTAAAGATTAAATATAAGGGAAAATGCGTAAATAGAAAGTGCAAAATTTATATTTTGTTAGACATAGTTTGGTAAACCCTTTTAATAAATGGAACTCGTGATGTATCTTAAATTAAACTGAATATTTATTAATACATTTTTTATCACCCTCTCACTTAATCCTAATAGTATCTTGTTGAATATTAATTGTACAGTATTTTTTAAGTCAGAAAATTATTATTATTACATTTTGTTAAAATATAAGGGAATAAATAACACACTAAACATTGTCAACTAAAAAACTTCTTTATATACACACAAAATATATTTACAGAAATTTAAAAAAATAGCTGATAGACAAAAATTCTCACATACAGCAAATACATTTCTAAAAAAGTAGCAAACTAATCTGAAATACGAGGGCAATCCCCAAAAAAAGGTCTCCTATATTTTTAGATATACAATGAACAGTTTATTTTCTATAATTGCTACATCACTTTAAAGATTGAAGAATGCTTTATTTTTCAACATAATCGCCATTTCGGTCGATACATTTTTGTAGACGCTGTGGCAGTTTTACAATGCCCATGTCATACCAGCTTGCCGCCATGCCCTTCAGGAAGTGTTGAGGAACTTCAGGAGCATCCAGATGATCCTCCGATCTTTACGCATTTTACGAACTCAATTGTCTCGTCGGCAATTGACGGCCTCCCGCTCCTTTCTTCGTCATGAATTTCACTACGACCGGCTGTAAACTCTCTACACCACTTGCGAACGCTTTTGACATCCATGCACGACTGTCCATACACTTCCGTCAAAAGGCGGTGAATTTCATCTGGTTTAACGCCTTTTGCGTTCAAAAATCGAATAACTGCGCGCACTTCGCACTAGGCGGTAATGTTTATCGGGAGCTCCATTTCGAATGGCTGCCAAGTCAAGACTGAGCATCCGAGCGAAGCGCCTGCGTGCTTATGTGGTAGCGGAGAAGGCACCACTCACAACAGTGTTGCCAACAACCGTATTAAAACTTTCTCTACGTCCCCCAAAAATAGGAGACCTTTTTTTTGGGATTGCCCTCGTATACAAATCTTTAACATTATTTAACAACATTTCAAAATTGACATTTTTTAGAAAGGACAGTTATATAATTCGCAATATTCGAGTTTTTACTCAAAAATTCAGCAGCAATATTCATAATATTTATTTTACACACACAGCAAGATTACCGAATTTCCAAAGCTTATTCGAATTGGTTATTGTCCAAGCTGATTGCCGTA